TGCCCTTATTTCATCCACAGCTCCCACCACTCCACAACCTGTTGGAGGAGCTGGCAGAAGTCACCCTACGCATAAGGACAACAGCAAGAGTTCAAGCATACATTCAGCAGATGGGTTCTAGTATTTCTGCATGTTGAGATCATTTGGCAGCATTAGATCACTATTAGTACCACATGAATGATTACTCAAAGGAACACAAGATGTATGTGTTAAAAAATCAGAGGTAACAGTGAGTTCATCCCTAGTTTGCTCATTCTAATCTTGAGCAGATTAATATGTAATCTGCTGCCTCAGCAGGAACAGGGAGGTGATAGCGGCTGTTTTAATCCACATGCTTTTGTTCTATAGCTTATAAATATCCTCAGGATTGCAGGTCCCAGTTCAGACTCTTCTGACACTTGACAGCCCTTCCTCAGCCCACCATGGAGTTCTTGGGATGGCCCACAGTCCTCTTGCTGGTCTGCATCTCATGCCTTCTCATTGCTGCATGGAGAAGTACATCACAAAGAGGGAAGGAGCCTCCTGGTCCCACACCAATTCCCATAATCGGAAATATTTTTCAGCTGAACCCATGGGACTTGATGGAAAGCTTTAAGGAGGTAAGATGTCTCTTTCTTTCCTGTGTTGTCTCCACTCATCTTAATTGTTTGACCAGCTGTCAGAATCACAGAATCACAGAATGGCCTGGGTTGGAAGGGACCTCAAGGATCATGAATCTCCAATTCCCCTGCCACATGCATGGCCACCAACCTCCCCATTTAATACCAGCACAGGCTGCCCAGGAACCCACCCAATCTGGCCTTGAACACCTCCAGGGACAGGGCAGATTTGAACACAAATGCTTCTGGAAACGCATTTGCTTTTCATGTATTACGCTGACCATAGAAGTAACAGTACTGATGATGAGGGCTGCACTGGCCTTACTCCATGCTGCAATTTGCAGTAAATTTCCAGGCAAGGTACTGATGCTTTCACCATATCCACCACAACCCCTTTGTGCCCGTCTCTTCACTGCTCTGGCAAAAGAGCCCAGATCTGATTTATGGAGGACTTTGCTCTATTTTCTTGCCTCAGTTCCTTGTCAAGTAGGTATAATCTCTTGGGAGGGGAATTTGTGAGTACAAGGGCCAAACAAGGGAGTTTGAAGGTGAATGGTGTTGTCTGTTCCCTCCTATGGATACTGTCATGCGTCTGTCAAAAAAAAAAGCCTGTGCTGTAGTGCCTGTGAGAGAATAGGTGGAGTAAGTTTGGCTGTGGAGCCTGTTCCTGAGGGTACTGTGATGGGATGGTGGTAGATGGATGGGAAAGGGCTGAGGAATTACTTGGTTTCCAGACACTCTGAGCAGGACTCCTATTCACCACCTGAGGACCCTGTGGGGGCAATTCCCAGTCACACTGAGAAAGCAGGCCTGTTGGGAAGTTCTGGGCAGACACACAGTCCCAGCAAATGCACATGTTTTAACAGTAATATAAAACACATGGCTGTGTAGCATTTTCCCAATTATGAGATACCAGGCAGTAACAGAGCTACACTGCTCACTAGGTCAATATGCAATAGTAGATTTTCCAGTGTCATTGCCAACAACCTCCTTCTCTTTCTTCTTTTCAGCCTTTGTTTACCTGCCCCATGTTGCAAAGTAATAACAGCAAAACAGTTCCTCAAACCACAGTACATGTGGAACGCTCAGAGGTGTGTGCCTGGCACAGTTAATCCTTGTAGGTTTACTGTGCTTGAGTCAGTGTGTTTCCCATTCTTATCTCACACACCATTAGCACTGACTAAGGTGAGGTTCTGCTGAACCAAAGCATGCTCCAGTCTCCTGCAGTGTTTGACGGTGTGCCTCCCACCAGGATGAAGTTACACTGCTCTAGAGATTGATGCAAAAGGGAAGAGACCTTTTGTCTCTCACTGTGGTGCACAATCTGCAAATGTTTTCTGAGGAAAAACAAAAAAAAAAAAGAAAAGAACCTTCATATGAAGCTGCAAATTTCTTTTTCCACGATTAACATTTGGATGTGGTGTTCCTTGTGTTTTTCCTTCCTACAGTTCAGCAAAAAGTATGGCCCTATCTTCACAATACATTTAGGACCCAAAAAAGTTGTAGTGCTCTATGGCTACGACGTTGTGAAAGAAGCCCTAATCGACAACGGAGAAGCTTTCAGTGGCAGAGGCAATCTGCCACTTTTTGAGAAAGTCTTCAAAGGCAAAGGTACGTCCAGGTAACACTGCCATACAGAACTGACCATGTCATTGGCACAGGAATCCACCTGTGAGGGCAGTGGAGGAGCGACTGGTGGACTTCAAGTACTACATTTACACATAAAAATTAGGAATAAAGTATTAAAAGCCCAACTCATTCCTTGGACCTAGCAGCAGGCTGAAGCCCTAGACAACTGTGTAAGGTCCTAGGCTGGCTTCAGTCAGTTCCTTTCTACTTTCAGCACCCTTCAAATTCTGGCTAAAAGGTGCCTCTAGGATATTACTGTTATTCTTCCATTTCTGAAAATACTGGCCAAGTCCCTACAGCTCAGGTGCCATCAACTGGAAATTCCAGAATACAACACTGACAAGCAAATAAAGGCTGTCCCAGTTAAGGGTCATACTCAATATTAGGCCCTGGGCTCATTCGCCACAACAGCTCCCAGTAGACTGTTTATCCAGGCAAATGGTTATTCCATGGTACATTCTTTTTCTGCAATGTATTCAGTGATGATACGATGTGTGAAGGTGCATCACTGAGCATTTGGGAATGCCTTAGCCATCTGCTTGTGGCCAAGTTGACTTTAATGCCAGTGGTCCCTTTTTACTGACAGCCCACGGTCATTTCTCTTATTCTGGAAATAAACAGTGGTGCCTTGGTCAGATTGATCAATCTGTCACCTCCATAACTGCAGGAAAGTCAGGGTTTGGGGCACATAGCAATTGTGGTAGACACCTATCTGGGGGACTAGCGGGGGGTGAAAATCTGTTTCCTCATGGAGTCTGTTTTTCTTTCTTATGACAGGCATTGTTACCAGCAATGGGGAGACCTGGAGGCAGATCCGACGATTTACCCTCACCACCCTGCGTGATTTTGGAATGGGGAAGAAGGGCATTGAGGAACGAATCCAGGAGGAAGCTCGTTTTCTGGTGGAGAGGATCAGGAACACACATGGTAGGACATGTATCTACTGGGAAACCTTGTACATCTGCAACGAGACAGTGAATGCCACTGCTTCATCAAATCTTTGACCCAGGAACTGAGCATACAGCTTCAGTTTCTACTATTTTAATCTACACATGCATTTCTGGTAGGATGTAAACTACTATTTCTTTTAAGAACCTCCCCTGAGAGTGGTAATACTCTGGACACTAAGCTTCCTTTCCATAGACACCCCTCATGTGTGATGTTCTGCAAGGAGGAAAAAGTGCAGATAGACCCAATAGGATGCCAAAGTACCACTGTTCTCCATGAGGCACTAGAAAATTCAGTCTGGATTAACACATAAATATCCCTGCTACCAATCTGAGAGAAAAATACCCCCCTAATATTGCTCTTTTCCTGTCAATAACACTGCATTGGTAATGCACCACTGAAAGCCTCCATCTCCGGGACAGGGACTTAAACAATTCAGACAGGATATCAATTATTTACATGTAGAGAAGAACCAATTGGCTAAGCCTCTCACTACCTTCTTAAAGGACTGCACAAATCTGTATCAAGTGGATACAAAACTTCCCCGTAGGTATCAGGGGGGGAGATGATGACTGAAATACTGAAAGCGTGTGACTTTTTCTTATGTTGCAGAGAAACCTTTCAATCCTACTGTGTTTTTAATGCATGCTGTTTCCAACATCATCTGTTCTATTGTATTTGGGGATCGGTTTGACTATGAGGACAAGAAATTTCTGGATTTAATAGAGATGCTGGAAGAAAATGAAAAGTACCAGAACAGTATACGAACACAGGTTTGTGCAGTTTCACTGCATTAATAAATGTATGTATTATCGTGGTTTTAAAATGAACGTTTATTCATGTTATTCATTCTTCATTGGTATGAATTTCCCTAAACATGGAAAAGAATTTTGAAGGCCAAAAAGTCAGTTCCATGGCCAACTCCTATTCTGCTTTTCTTCTTTTTTTTTTTTTTAAACATCCTGTACTTCCAATTGCACATCCAAGGAAGGATAAAATTGCAAAAGTACCTTAAATGACGTTTTTCCTTGAGTCTAGTGAAGCCATGATGTAAAAGGCATTAAAATCGAGTTGAATAATATAGACCTACATTTCCAGAACAGTTTATTCCTTCACATAGTAAGAGTTAGGGGAACAATTCATTGAAAGCACTTTAACCAAAATATGCTTTTCCTTCCTTTTATTATCACAGCTCTACAATTTCTTCCCAACCATCCTGGATTATTTGCCTGGGCCTCATAAAACACTAATAAAAAGCATTGATAAAGTTGATGACTTCATTACTGAAATTGTAAGAGCACACCAGGAATCTTTCGATCCCAGCTGCCCTCGAGATTTTATTGATGCTTTTATCAACAAAATGCAACAGGTAATGTAAGAGTAAGTGAGAGCTCTCTGGATGATAGGAAAGCCACCATTTGAATCCTTACATCGTCTCCCAGTTGTAGCAGCACACTGGGCTTCTGCAAATACAGAGGGAAATTTCTTTTCATAGCACCTTCATTTCTCTCCCCTCCATTTTCCTCTGAAAGATTTGTAAGCACAGCGCTAACAATGGCACACAGCACTAGCCAGAGCTGGGAAAGCTGTTAACCAACCTCACCAATGTAATTCCATATGCTTCCCACATGATCTCAAATGTCATATAAGAACTGTTATCCCTGATGTTCTGGGGAGGGTGTATTTTTGAAGAGACATTAGGTGAATCTAAAAACATACATAGGCATAGGCACAAGGCGTCCTTTGTAGAAAAACTTCTTATCGTTCTCACTCAAACAATCCTGCCAAATTTTCCTCCAGGAGAAAGGGAACTCTTATTTCACTGTTGAGTCCTTGACCAGAACCACACTTGACTTGTTCCTTGCGGGAACAGGGACAACCAGCACCACACTGAGATACGGATTTCTGATTCTCCAGAAATACCCGGAGATTGAAGGTAAGAGGAAAGGGAATATTCACTTGAAGATATATTATAGGCCATGGGCTCAAAGTGGACAGTTTGTGTCACTACCTCTGGTGACAACAGTCCCTAATAGCAGAGATGTCCATCAGTCTGAGCTCTACTTCCAGGAGAGAGCCATCAGTACCAAGTATGTTTGTTCATCTGCTTTTGGGAGGGTGAAAAGCAAGCTTTGCTGCAACTGTGAAGAAAGGCTTTGGGAAACATCCATTCAATTTACTTATTCCCAAACAGAGAAAATTCACAAGGAGATTGACCGTGTGGTTGGCCGAGACCGAAGCCCCTGCATGGCAGACAGGAGCCAGTTGCCATACACAGATGCTGTGGTCCATGAAATCCAGAGATTCATTGATTTCCTTCCAGTTAACCTACCACGTGCTGTGACCAAGGACACCAAGCTCAGAGACTATTTCATACCCAAGGTTAGTTACTAGGAGGAACTATCATCTCTTGAAAGCAATGATGTGATAAATGAATCACATTTTACTTAAGTTTCAAACACACTGGAATGCAATACAGAATCAGAATAACTTGGTTTGGGAGGGGATTCTAGAAATTCTTCACAGAATCAGAGAATGGCCTGAGTTGGAAGGGACCTCAAGGATCATGAATCTCCAACCCTCCTGCCACAGGCAGGACCATCAACCTCCACATTTAATTCTAATTCTTACATCCCTCCCATTGTATTTGAAAAAAAAGCTTTTCCATTCTCTGTATGAAGAGGTAGATCAAGCTTCCAATTTTTTCACACAAATGTAAACAATCAAATTTCTCATTTATTTGAAAGCCAGATTAAATTGTCTAACCAACCTTATTGCTAAAATCCATTACAGAACATCTTTGCCATACTTATGGAAGACATTCTTTATTTTAAAACTGCTAGCTTTAATGTGGCCAAACTTTGCCTAGTCAGACAAAACATGCTGTTTTCTCTTTTTACAGGAGTAGAGAAGGACTATTTCTAGATTTTACTGGCTCTGCCTGTGGCATGGGGGTTAGAACTTGATGATCCTTGGGTCCCTTCCAACCCAAGGCATTCGATGATTCTATGATCATAGAGTCACAGAATCACAGAATCACCAAAGTTGGAAAAGACCTACAAGATCATCCAGTCCAATCATGAACCTATCACTAATATTTCTCACTGAACTGCGTCCCTCAACACAACGTCTAAACATTCCATGAATATCTCCAGGGTCGGTGACTCCACCACCTCCCTGAGCAGTCCAGTCTATGAGCATGAATCAGTTATTAGCAACAATGTCTTTCCAGCTGTTCTCCTTTGTGTAGGCCAAGAGTGCTTATAACT